GGGCGGCGGCGGGCGCAACGAGTCGAACGCAAAACAACGAAATCGAATCACTCTCGGTGGCCGCCGGTACTTTTCATGCGTGAATTTTCCGACTGCTCGACACGTATTGCAGCTGCGGAATCGCCGGTAATAGCTTTAGCAGAATCGAGAGTAATGCCCGAAAACATTTACAATACGCGTCGCTTGCCGCGAATAAAAACGCGGTGATCGTTTAGCGGCGATAATACGCGCGCCGCGCGTACAACGCCGACAACAACAACAACAACAACAACAAGAACGACGAGCCCGGTAACAGCGGCGTTGGATAAATGGGAGAAAGGAAAAAACAACAAGCGGAGGGGGAGAGGTGGGAAAAAAATGGGATATGATCGAGCGAAAATTCGAACGGGGCGACGATTCGATTCGAGCTACGAACGATGGAATATTGTCGCCGGTTGTTGTTGTTGTATCCCAATTGCTCGCCGTGCGAGGTGTAATTTGACGATATTAATGACACGAGTTCGATCACGATCGAATAACATTCGATCGATTTTTTAACAAATTGAACGTGTATATCAGAGTTGAAGTCGGACGCAACTTTTCGTGAAATAAATATATTAATCGCGAATAATACGCATTTATTCCGTACACTCTGTAGATTTTTGTAAATGCATAAACGATTTCTGCATAAATTAATTAATTTAATAACAATTAAATTCGTTTCCAACTTTTCATCTGGAAATTCGATTCTCGAAAAATTGATGCGCGAACGTATTAAGACATTATTATGAAGCGACGACATTAGTTTGAAGCGCAACATCTCCTTCATTCACGCGCATTCCCTTTTAACGAGGCCGCGCGTGTAGTAATCCATCCATCGATGCGAAACCAGTGATTCGAGACGACAATTATCGTACAGGTATATAACAGGAAAACGTAACAGGTCGACTGCGGTCTGATGGATGATGATGATGACGGTAATTGTCGGGAATTACCCGACGTTAATTACATCCAGGGCGAAATCGAGCGCGTTTACACCGCCATTCGCAGACACTTGCCAGACTGACCGACCGGCCGACCGCGTTAATACACGCCCGATAAATTCGATTCGAAACGTCACCGCGTATCCCGTCCAGATATTTTACCCTCTCGCGTCGTCAGAGTTGTTACTCATCTCACACCACGTCCTTCGACCCCTATATACACTCCCCATTCCCCGTTTCCGCTCCCAATTTTCCTCCCCTTTTCCTCCCTTTTTGCACCCTGTCTTTCTCTCTCTCTCTCTCTCTCCTTTCCACGAGTTTTTCATTCGAGTCCAACTCTCGTCGCAAACGCGGACGATTAATCATTTCTCGATCGAATATATATATATATAGGGAATCTATGGTGAAAGGGTCGGTTTTGATTTTATAAACGCGATCGAGCGTGAAATTGTGGCGTAGAAATACGATCGTGTAAACAGCATCTGACGGCCGTCCAACATTTTTACAATGAATATGGGATAATTCCGATGTAACCGGTTCGCAGCGAGTGGCTGTGAAAACGTTCGATTTCGCGCCGGATACGGGCCGAATTCACGGATCTTCTTTCGTGAATCGAGAGTCTCGAGAGTGGAAATTCGATCGTTCGACCCGATTCATCACAGCCGGGACGAATCGAGAAGACGGACATGAGCGATTCCTCGCGGCCTTGTTCCACTTCGCCTGGCCGAAATAAAGCTCGAGCGTAAATCTCTCGTAGGAATTTATCGGCGACGGGAAAAAAAACAATCCTGCCTACTTGTCTTTCCACGGGAGTCGTGTATCCCCCCTCGCTATAAAACTTGAAACTTCTTGGGTTTTTTCTCCTCGTTCGTGTCATTGAGAGAGAGAACTTTTGGAAGAATATATATCTTTATTTTTGTACAATTAAAATAATGTTTTTATAAAATAATTTAGAGAGTAAAAGTATGAATTTAAAATAAGAAACTTGTAATTGCGTTCGAAAGATCTAAGACTAGACGTCTTAATAATATCCTCTTTTATCATCTTATTTTATACATATATTCGTACAGTTTCATTGTTCAATCAATAATAAGCACGTATTGATATTTATTCGCATAATCTTCCATTTCCCCTGTCTATCGATAGATTCGTTGATAATCTCGAATTTTGGTTGTTCCTCATCCTCCACCCTTTTCCAACCGACACGAAGCCCGATTCGCGATCCAAGGGGGCTCTGCATCCGGTTGAAAGGGAAAGAGAAAGAAGAGCGGCGGAAGCGGAGGAAATAAGCGGGGAGGCCGGCTGCTAAATATTCAATAAACGCGGGCATTATTCGTGGCACGTCGACGCGAAAGCTGGCTCACGGAAGAGTGGAGAGCGAAGAGGTAACGCGAGAAAAATCGCGAGCAATGCGGGCGAATGGGTTTAGCGCGAAAGGTTGGCGCGGAAGAAACTCGATGGAAGAGGAGTTATTTATCCCCTCGTGAAAATCGAGATTCTTCAACGAAGAAAATACAGAAACTAGAAGAAGGAAGGTCTTTTTCCCTTTCTCTCTCGCGTGTTTAAAATATCATCGAACAATTACGCGTATATGCATTCGCAATTATTATCTTTAACTCTCCACCCCTATTTGTCATCCCTATTATAACATCACGATTAACGATACCATTAAAGAGAAACCGTCTCAATTAAGTTGCTACGACAATTCACGAAAACGTCTCTCTCTTGAACACGTGACCATCGTCGATCAAGCCTCCGTTATGCTATTTATTTTCGTGCACACACGATCCTCGAGGCCGTTTCGACTCGATAAATTTTTATGACCGCTTCTCGTAAATGAATCGCCTATATAAAAACGACGGACGAGGACAACATCAATTGACCACATTAACCGTCCGGGAATGCCGTAAAAGCGAGCATGAAACGAAGCTTTCCGCTTTTGGTCCACTAACGCGAACTCGTACGCTGCCATTTCTCTTTTTTTCCTTCGAAGAGGAGGAGGAGGAGGAGGAGAGGTGAGACGAGGAAGGCTGCTCGAAGGAGAGAAAAATCGGGATATTTACAATGGCGGTCACGATCGAGCTACGAGAAAACGGGAAATTCAAATCGGCCGATCGCCGCGATGAATATGGATGTCGGGTATGGGGGAGGGGGCAAGAAAAACACGACGGGGAGAGATCTTTGTGATGCAAATCCGGCGACAGTACTTTTTCTTTATTAATATCGAGAATGTGTTTTTTCGACGGGGCTGCATCGCGTTGAAGAGGGGAGAGGGAGGAGAAAAAGGAAGAGGAGAGGAGAGCGGCTCGGTCTCTTTCCTTTCCCCTTCCCTCCCCTCTTCACCCGTAGCCGGGTTAATTCTCGATATCAAACGAACCACTTCCAATCCTATTTCTGTCTGTTTACACGGCAAACAGATCGGTCTGGGGCCATTAACAGGCACCCGGGAAAGTATTATGTAAGAGAAAGAGAAAGAGAGAGATATCCTCCGTGGCAACCTTGCGCCATTTTTCTTCCCGCTCTTACGATAAATCCCGTTAAGATACGGTCAAAGAAGTGACGTAATCTGTGAGCTCTGTCAAAGGGACTCGTGAGAAATGTAATTTTTCCGTGCAAACAGTGAAATGTGACGTGAAACGGACGATGATGGGACGGCGATATAACCACGGACGATAATACTCCGATATCGGACGACTATTTCGAGTATTAGAGAGGGAAAAAATTTGTGGGTCGACCTAGATGACTCCAGTTGACGGATCGGGGGATTTGGAAAATTATTCTTCGATTCGTTGTTCTTCTTTCTTTCCGTATTTCTCGTCATAATAATCGATTAATTTAAAAATCGCGAGATACAACAAAATAATATTAAATTATTCAAATAAACATACACACAATAGCAACAAATTGATCAAAATTAACGATTAATACCCCACTCGAATATGATTACTTAAACTATCATCAAACATTCTATTATATCTTCAAAATATCATAGAAAAAGCCTCCAAACGTACCTCTATTATACTCCAACATAAAGAAAAAAATATAGTTAACACGAAGGTATATTAAATCAATCTCACCGGATTAATCGAGTCTATCCACGAGGCCTATTCATTCGCGCAACGCGCATCCCTGAAGAAGAATCATCCCAGAAGAGGGGCGCGGCAACGCGCTCAATAATTCGTAATAAAGGGCTCGACCGGTGCCTCCCTCCCTCCGCTTTTTCTTCGTCCAAAGGTCGCCGGAAGAAACCTTTCCCCTTGTGCAATTTGCATGTTATTACCTTGTTTACATATTTATTCAATAGGGCAGGATTCCCCCCGGAGGGAGAAGAGAAAGAGAGAAAGAGATCCCCCTCTCCCTCCCTTTAATTTCGGATTAAGGGTCACGCGCGAAACCACCGAGGCGAACGATTAGTAAGTCGGGGCACGGATATTGGCCGTCCGTTCGCGCTCGCGCCATGAATGAAAACATAAATTTCGACCGAAGGCACGGCCGAGCGTTCTATCGCGCGTTAAGTCAACGAAGTAATTACTATACCCGGTGCTATCGGTGCACGTGCGTGTAAAACAGGTGCACGCGAGCGTAATCTCAACACAGGTGAAGGGGGAAGGGGAGGGCTCGTGTACGTGTGCGGGTATATTCGAGAGGGTACAGGGTGCTTCACGCGCGAGTCTCGAGCGTTCCAAGGGTTTTCGGCAATTTTTAATTTCCAGTAATTTGTCATCTCGAGACAGAGAACGTGGATGAAAATAAATTATTCCATTTTTATATATTTGCACGTATTAAAATGTTTAGGATAAATTTGCATCGGAAAATTGATCAATTTTGATTCGTTATCGTAGATCATTCGAAACGTACAACTCGTTTATTATCGAAGAAATTGAAGAACAATTAATTAGCAGGAATATCGAGAATTGTACGATAACCAGCCGCGTGAAACGGCTTGTACACGCGCGTGCATGCACGATTGGCGGTATCTATCGGAGCGGTCCGATGATACTGATTTGAAATTCAAATGAAGACGATGGGAAGGCTTACCTGTTTATGCATTTCCACGTTCAGCCCGTAGGACATCTCGTAATACTGAAAGAATAAAAGAAAAAGGAAAAGATGTATTGGACGTGAGAGAGGTGTAAAAAGACGGCGAGAGGCGTGCGCGGGGGCGAGGCGATATCGAAGAAGCATGCTGGATACAAGCGTTAACGGCGACGATACGCGCGCGGCGCGTGTGAAATCTTTTCTTGTAATCTTGTCTCTCGTCCACGCGCACGCCTACGTGAATAATAGTTTTCAATCAAAACAAAAAAAAAAAAAAAAAATGACACCAATCTCTTGATGCTTATATGCATCCATTCATCATAAATGGATCATATTTATTTTTTTCTTTATTTGAACAAATATCGCTAAATTAATTGTACAAGATTATTCCATTCGCTACTTTTTCCAGATCCAATCACTTTGACCACGAAAATGAATTACCCCTGCTTTATTTTCTTGGGCAAGAACAAAAAAAAAAAATTATCCATTTCTAGAAGACCATTAAATCTAGAATACAAATACAAGAAAGATCGCAATCGTAAAAATTTAAAATGCGACACACGCATCGATCCCCGAAAAACACACTCACGTTCCTACGTAATACGTGATATATATCGAAGGAGAAGAAAAAAAAAAAAAAAAAAAAAAGGCAGAAGAAAAAAAAACTCGTGATCCCGATCCAAGTCGATCGAGATAAAGGGAATTTGTGCCAGAAGTCCGCCGATAAATAATTTCGCTGGCGTGTAGCAGCCAGAAAAAAAGGGGGAGGGGAAAGGAAAAGAAGAGGAAAAAAAAGAAAAAGTGGTCGAGAAGGCATTCTGGTCTCCGATCGAATATATATTCAGCTGCAACTTATTATGCAACGCGTGATTCAATTGCACGATCCCGGCCGGTGGG